TCATTATACTATACAGACAAATTGCTCGGTTGTGATGCAGTTTTGTAATAAGAACGCCGCTGACACTCACATTTCCGGGTTTTAGGATATGAAGAGGGCTTATTCTAGCCTCTCATCTGGAAGCTCTGAGAGGGCTGTCGTGTGGGCCTTGCCCACCACTATATTCCCAGCACCTGGCACAGAGCCTGGCAGAGTCAGCGCCCAATAAACACATGCAGAAGGAATGAATGAAAATAAAAGTGTGTGAATTAACAAAGGAAATGTTCCCAGCCTGGGAGCAGACGTGAGATCTCCCCCATCTTCACACCTATCCTTCTGCTGGTTAAAGTCCTCAGCAAGCCTTTCACGTCACCCACCACCACCACCACCCCCCAACCCTGGCCAGGGCTGGATCAGGGCCCCTTGTAATGAATTATCCTAGCAGGCAGTAGCTCTCCTCTGCAGCATATCACAGGGATGATCAGAGTTAATTGTGTCTGCCTCCACTACTAGATTGTAAACTCCCCAAGGGTAGGGGCCATGTGGCATTTGCGAGGAGGAGGACGGACATTGCCATTGCCCTACAACTTTTAACTTTGCAAAGTCTCAAACACACAGAAAAGTTGGAAAATAGTACCATGATCATCCACAGACCCTTGACTTAGATTCATGAAATTTTACTATTTGGGGCCATGCAAGTCTTCTTCAGTGCTGTATTTGCATATGTTGTATTTGCAGAGATATGGCTGAATGTTACAGTTTTCATCTCCCTGCTTGGGGTAGAATATGACTTTTAGTGGGAGGTGGTGGAGATGGCTGAGGCAAGGCACTGCAATGGGAATCAAGGTTAAGTGTCATTGACAGCAAGACCAGAGTGCAGCCACCTGTAGGTGGTACCCTGGCAGCATTAGGCCCAGCAAGCTCTTTCTTTAGGGAGAAAGACCATTATCTGGCTGCCACTGAAGGAAAGTATCATTGTCCATATCGTGGGATTGGCTCAAATCAGAATCAGTAAGCCCTACTTTCTATGGGCCAGCACTTATAGGCTGGACCCTAAAAAGCAACATTGAAAGAAACAACTCAGTGCAAAAGCCAGCAGCTGTGACCTCTGGGGCCCACGCCATGCCTTCCTAGTTACCTTGGACAAGACATGGAACCTCACAGAGTGTGTGTGTGTGTGTGTGTGTGTGTGTGTGTGTGTGTGTGTACATACACATATCAGTTCAGTTCAGTCGCTCAGCAGTTGTGTCTGTCTCTTGTGACGCACTGTGTGTGTGTGTATACATACCAGTTTGGTTCAGTCGCTTAGTCATGTCCGACTCTTTGGGACCCCGTGGACTGCAGCACAACTGGCTTCCCTGTCCATCACCAACTCCCGGAGCTTGCTCAGACTCATGTCTATCAAGTTGGTGATGCCATCCAACCATCTCATCCTGTCATCCCTTTCTCCTGCCTTCAGTCTTTCCCAGCATCACGGTCTCTTCCAATGTGTCAGTTCTTCACATCAGGTGGCCAAAGTATTGGAGTTTCAGCTTCAGCATCAGTCCTTCCAATGAATATACAGGACTGATTTCCTTTACAATTGACTGGTTGGATCTCCTTGCAGTCCAAGGGACTCTCAAGAGTCTTCTCCAACACCAAAGTTCAAAATCATCAATTCTTCAGCATTCAGCTTTCCTTAGGGTCCAACTCGCACATCCATACATGACTACTGGAAAACCCATAGCTTTGACTAGATGGACTAAAGTCAACAAAGACTTTAAGAAAATGGTCTACATAAAAATAAAAATAAACCCTTAAAATATATTTGTGTGTGTGTGTGTGTGTGTGTGTGTGTATAATCTAGTGGTTTTCCTGACTTTATTCAGACTTAAATTGAAGAAAGTACGGAAAACCACTAGACCATATATAAACATATTTTTTAAGGGTTTTTTATGTAAACCATTTTCTTAAAGTCTTTACTGACTTTGTTACAATATTGCTTCTGTGTTTTTCTTTTTTATGTTTTGGTTTTTTGGCCAAGAGGCAGGCAGGATCTTAGCTCCCCTACCAGGGATCAAACCCACATCCCCTGCATCGGAAGATGAAGTGTTACCCAGTGGACCACCAGGGAAGTCCCATTAGAGTATATATTAATAGAAGCCCAGGCCACATCACAGACAGGGTCTGGAGATGGGAACATCCCAAGAATCTTCTGTAGTTCTCTAATTATTTCCCTATGTACACAATTAGTCTTTCCAACTAGACTAGAATAAGTGTAAAAGCCAGGAAGTACGTCTATAACTTTTTTTAGTATCCTTGACCAGGGCTAGTCATTGTGCTGGACACTTATTAGTCAATCAAATAAATCCTGTGGACATGATAAAGAGACAGTTTTGTCACAAAGAATCTTTATGGTGTTCATTCAAATAGGGTGGGGTTGTGTTAAGGAGGCAAAAGCTGAGCTTTCAACTTGCATGTGTGCACAAATAAGGGTCCTACCCAGGAACTCTAAGGTCTGTTTTTGTCACTAGTTGATGTTATCTTACAGGCCAGAGTGACCCTCAACTGACTCTGGAGAGGACAGCCCATCCCTCACACACACCAGAGCACCACTTGCATGGCACCGTATCTCAGAGCTCATTAAAAAGAACTCCTAGGCTAGGCACACTTAGGTTAAGACTCTAGTCTTCTTTTCCCAAACCCTGAATATGCCTTTGCTGAAAGAAGCTGAAAGAAACAATCAGCAACCAGACGTCCAAGGTCTCCCGAGTTAATTGCATCTTCCCCTGGTGAATTACAACTTCTTACAGACACAAAGGCAAGCAGAGAGACAAATGACACAGAGACAAGAGCTTCACTGACTGGGGGAGAGGGGGGGGCCTGGAGAGTGACGTCAGTTTTCCCAGCAACCCATTTATCACGATAACAAGGTCTCAAGGGCTCTGGCTGCTCTTTCAGCTTCAGGATCTGGCATACAATTTTGTTCTTCATTGTAAAGTAGGGCAAGGCCACCCAGAACAAACTGGAACCAAGCAGAGCTATCCAAGTGGCCCTAAACCAACCCCCTCCATTTTTAGAACAAAGGGGATCTCTGGGTAGCCCCAGGTGAAACACAACCTTCTGGAAGGTTCCTCTTTGCCACATCTGCCCTGCAACCCTGATTCAGGCTAGGGGGACTGGTGAGAGAGTATGGGCAGGTCAGTGCAAATTCATTAGCAGACAGGAAAAATCATTAGCGTCCTTATTGGTCACTAAGGATGGAGCAAGTGTAATCTAGGGGACTAATTCTTCTCCTTAAGGCATGCCATCGCTAAAATAGAGGAGCAGAAAGGCACTGAGGTAGCTCTCAAAACACTAATGCAATACATATTAGAGTGACAATCTTGGGGAGAAAAGAATTCTCTCAAACGCCATTATCACAGAGCATGGTCTCCCAAGTACTCCTGGTCCTTCCACACCCTGAATGCCTAAAGAACTCCAGGCTAGGGTCTTGCAGAGCAGTAGAGGAGGATCTAAAGAAGTGGAATAAATTTAGCTGTATCCTGTAGAAAAAATACTACCAGATTCTGAATTCAGATTTTGAAAACAAATCAATTTCAATTACACCAAATACCTAGAGGCTATATATATATTTTTTGCACTAGAATTGCATTGCATGGACTATTTCCCTAAATAAGTATGACACAAGGTTTAAAAACCCTGTGAGTGTGTGTTTCAGAGATTTTCATCAAGCAGTATGGATATTTACTGTCATGGGATCTGACCTAGCTCTACTTCAGTCTCCTTCCTCACTTCAGGGTGCTGGTAACTGTGGGCTTCTTAGAAATCCCAGACACTCAGGGAGGAATAGAAAGGCCAGGTTGTTGCCTCAAGTGGAAACATTCCCCTCCCTTTGTAACGAAACTTCTGGTCTAAAAAAATAAACATGGAGCCTCAGGTCACTTCAGTATAATTTCTCTGCACATCCCAGGCTGGAAAACTTCAGTTCGTTAAACGAAGATTTTTTTTTTCCAGAGTTGGCTGCCAACAAAAAGAGAGAGACGGCACCGCTTTTGTAAGCGTCACACTTATTTTCCTGAGTTCCATGACAAGAAGGCAGTGCCACAGGTTTTGGCACACAAGCCCAGTGACACCGAACTCGCACCGGAGACAGATCCCCCCACCTCCAGGGTCCCGCAAAATACGGGTCAGGTGTCAGAAACACGCCAAAATACGCAGCCAGCCAGCCACCTACAGGCAAGCGGACTGCAGCCCACACAGACGCACAAATGAGACCCAGAGGCACACAGCACAAGCAGACGGGAAAAGAAGCGCCCAGACCCAGGAACACGCACCAGGGACTGAGTACACTCCCAGAAACAGGCGGACGCATCAAGGGTCACAGACAAGCCGGGCACCGCCGTGGTCCACCCGGGGAGGCACGAGTGCGCGCGCGCGCACTCAAACGCACAGTGATACACACACACACACACACACACACAGACGCAGTCACATATGTAATGCATATGGAAAAACCCTACCCCAGCCAGTCACCTCCCCGCCCCCCTCAACACTCGCCGCCTCCTGCCCCAGGCTCACCCCAGCCCCACGCCCCTCTGGCTGAGGAAGCCCGGGTCCCGGCGCATGGCGGGGCGCTGGGGCGCGGCCCGGCGGCCCGAGGGAGCGAGGCCAGGGTGCCGGGGACCCGAAGGGCTCGGCGGCCCGTGCGGCCATTCATTCGGCAACGCCCCAGCGGCGGGGCCGCAGCTGCAGCGAGGGCGGCGGCGGCGCCGGCTGCAGCTCTTGGGCAATGCAAGTTCAGCCGCCAGCCTGCAGCCTGGACCAGTCCCCTCGCCTCCCCTACCCGCCCGCCACCACGGTTCTCGGGGACGGAAGGCTGGGGGACTGAGTCGCTGACCCCAGGAGCAGAAGTCCCGCCGCGCCCGGTCTCCTGGATGGTGCCCACTGCCCCTCCTTGCGGCGGCGGTGACGGCGGCCAGGTCTCCTCGGCTCTTCCGAGGCCCCCGGCCCCGACGCTGGCACCCAAGCCCCGCACTCACCACCTGGCGAGCTATATCGGTCGCTGCCATCGCTCCTGCGTCCGCCAGGGCTGCCACGGGCGCCGCCGCAACGGGAGCTAGAGCACAGAAAACAGCGGCGCTCCTCCGACAAAGAGAAAGTGTTACACTTCGGGCGCAACCAAGTCCGGCGGGGGGAGGTGCAAGGGAGGGGCCCCTTTGCTGCTGCTCCAACGCCGACCTCTCCTCTGTCGCCCACCCCCTCGGAAGTGGGGTGCGGCGTGGGGGCGGATTTAACGCGCCGCTTCCCTCTCCTGCTTGCAGGGTTCCAGCTCTCCCTGCAACCTCAGAAGTAGGCCTGTGCGAAGGGAGGCGGGGGCTCCCCTCGGTGACCCAGTCCTTTGCCCGCCCCCCCCGCCACTGGGCTCCGTGGTACGTCCCGACCTCTGCTGAATTGTCACACCCCCCTGCTCCCGCCTTACATCCCTGAGTCCCCAGACCCCGGAGGCTGGAAGGGAGCCTCCGCCCCTCCCCCCCGCCGCGCACCGCTCAGCGGCTGACCCCTGCGGTCCTCCTCTTCCTCCTCCCGGCATCCCCGACCCCCTATTTCTCCCCACCGAAATCTTAGGGTGCCTGGAGGGGAGCGGCCACTGCTGGAGTCTCGCTGCTCCACCACACCTCCCCCACTCCGGCCCGGGCGGGCTGCTGAGGCCGGTGGGGGACCAGGAGGAGGAGAGCTGTTGCAGGTGCCGCTTCCCAGCGGAGCTTAGAAAGGGGGCGGTTGGGGGAAGCCGCACTGCCGGCCCCGCAACTGAGCTGTGACATGCGGTGTCCTAGGCCAGGGGTCCTGACTCGAAACGCCCCTTCTGCCCTGGGGTTTCCCCGCCTCGGGTGCTGCGGGCTGTCCTTTTCGAGCTCACCACCGTTGCGTCCCACGCCTCCTCTCCCCACCGAGCCCTAGGCGATCGGCGAGTGAGCGGAGGCTCAGACAACTTACCCCCCTGTAGAGCCTCGGCCGCCGGCGACTCTCAGAGGAGGGGCCCGTTACTGAAATCCCAGCTCCGTGGAGCGGGATTTCGCAGAGGGACGCGGAGCAGCCTCCAGGGGCTCTGTCCCGCCCCCTGATTTCCCCTTAACCTTGGGTCAGCCCGAGGCTAGGCGGCCGCAGTGAGCAGAGGGCGACCCTCCGAAGGCAGAGGCTCTGCCCGCCTGCTTTCCTTTTCCTCTCGGCCCTCCGTCGCCGCGGGTCCCCTCCCTTGCCCTCAGCACCTCTCCCTCTCTTCGGCCTGATGCCCCGCAACCCTTCTCCTGGCCATGGACCCTGCTAGCTCCTTGGCGTGCCCGAGGCCGGAGCCGGCGGGATCATCCACTACATTCCTTAAAAGGACAGGTGCCCTGGTCTCTGAGACGGACTCGGATCCTCGAGTGGAACCCGGGACCGCGGGGGGAGACAGATCCCTGGGAGGGAAGCCCGGCCGGCGACGGGGCCGGGATGCGGCGTGGGAGCTGGCCCAAGGCGGGAGCGCCTGAGGTGGAGAGGCAGGAGGGAGGAAAAAAGAAAAACGGGAACCACTGAGAGGGAGAAGGGACCCCGACCCGGAGGCCCGCGCGCGGGGAAAAGGGCAGGCAGATAAACTGGGGTGGCCGTAGGAGGCGCTCCCATGGCCCTTGATTCCACCTGCCGCCGGGACAGTGCGTGTCTTACGGTCTCCGGAAGCTCTTCACGTGCGTGTGAACCTTGAGAACAACGACTCCGCAAAATGCATCCTCAGAGCCTACTTTGGGGCCTGGCATCCACCAAGACCCCAATTAAGCATTTCCTGAACCGGCGGACAGAGGGTTTGGACTGGGGGCGGGAGCGGGGGGCGGGGGGTAGAGAAGGAAGAGACACAATCCGGAGGTGGCTCTGTAGGGACAGAATAGCCAAGCTCTGGAGGTGCCCATTGTGCGGAAGACCCTGGAGGGGCCGAAAGAGAAGAGCCTGGCACCATCAGGGAACAGAACTAGGAAGCTCTGTGGATGGACAGCACTGGCCGGAAGGGCAGATGGTGGTGGCAGAGAAGCGGGGCGACTAGCGTCTCCGAAGCCCCCCAGGGCGCTGGGGCAGGGCCTGGGCGAGGCGCCAGGCCCTGGATTCGGGTGGCCGACACGTGCGGGACCTGGCTGGTATTTGAGGAACCGCCGTAAGGCTGGGCCGGGAACGGATGGGGGCGGGGAGCAGTGGGGGCGGGCGGCTCGCAGACCGGGTGTCTAGCCCGCAGACAGGTCTGCGCTGCAAAGGCTGAGGCATGGAGAGCGGGGAAGGGCTGGAGGTCATTAACTCTGACCTGGATCTGCGGTTTGGTGGGTGGCGGGAGCTGAGCCGTACATTTGGAAAGCAGAGCTGAGAGCTGATACACGCAGCGTCGGCGAGCAGGCGGAGTGCCCGACGGAGCTGGACTGGCCGACTGCGGGGCTCCCTGGGAACCCTGCCTGCCCCCTTCCAAATCACCCCGCCCCCGCCTAAGCGCTCCTCGCCCACCAAAGCTCGAGGCATTTCCACCAGGCACAGGGGCTACCGAAGTGCCGAACCCTGGTGCCCCGGCCATATGCCCCCCTCTGCCCTCCTGTCCCTAGGAACCCTCACAACCTCGCGGAGGCCTCCGCCTCCAAAACAATGGCCCTCGCAGACTGGAACCAAATGTGTAACTCAAGTCTCCTGCAACCTTTTGGTCTCTCAAGAACCTGCCACCTGCGGCTGCAAGCGCCTCAGGCTTCCGGGTTTCCGCGGGGTGCAGTGGGTGTTGATGTGTGCGTAGGTGTGCATTTGTCTGTCAGTGTGCATCCGCTGTGTCTGTGTGTCAAGGCGTGTGTGTGTACAGGCATGTATTTACTGTTTTTTTTTAATCTGCCACCTTGTGTGTGTGTGTTTCAGTGAGTGGGTCTGTGTCGATGTGTGTGTAAGTGTGTACTTTTGCTGTGTATTGGTGTGTATGAAAAGGTGTGCATGCCAGTGCTGTGTGTGTGTGTCTGTCTGTGCAGGTCAATGTGAGGGGCAGTGTGGGTGTGTGTATGTGTAGAGACACTCTAGCTCACTACATTCTGGGCTTTACATTCCTTGCCTGACTCCATGAAAGGGGCCCATAACTGAATGCTATGGATTACCATCCTTATTTCAACGAAGAAGTGGGGCGGAGGGAAGGAAAACAGAGAAATTTGGAAATTCTCTGGGTTCTATCTCCCAGTCTTTGGTCCTGGGTCACTAGCCCAGACACAGGGTGGACACAAAGGGCTGAGGCAGGAGGGCTCACTAGTGGTCAGTCACTTCCTTGCATGTCTGTCCCTGTTGAGGTCTTGTGGACCCTGGGGACCCATGAACCTGTCTTCATGTCCAGTGTATCCTCGCAGGGTCCCTTGGGCCCTGCACAGTTATCTGGCAGGTGCTCAATCAATGTTTGTTGAGTGAATGGATAAACGGAAGCATGTAAATGTGGTGTTTTCAGTGTTTCCACTGTCCTTAAGGAAGCTGGAGCAAGCAGCAACTTCCGCAGGCCAGCAGGTGACTGTCATTAACTTGCTAATGTTGTTTGTGGAACCGGACTCCCCAGGGAGGGGAAATGCCCATCCCTGCTAGATAGGAGGGGGCCCTAATTAAAGCCAAGCTTTAGAAAAGTCACCCTGATGGCTGGGGAAGGGGGTGCTCAGACTGGATGGGGGAAGGGGTCAGGGATGGGGGGAGGGAGGGAGAAGAGGGCAGTGAAATGGAACTAACAGCTCAGGAAAGGGCTTTGTCCTGAAACTGGCTTTACAGAAGAAGAAAGGATAGTCACGTTGCTCTAAAGTGGAGACGCCGAGAATCATCTGAAAAATAAGATCAGAAAGTTGGAGGAAGAGGACAAGGTGAAGCGGAGGGGAAATGACCAAATCGGACAGTGCTGATAGAATCAGAAACTCAGTGAAGGGGCAAGTCAAGAGGAAATAAGGATTCCTTTGTGCATCATTACCTCCTGCCTCTGGTTTGACATCAGTTTATTCCAGTAGTTCCCAAACGGTGATCTTTGTCTAACAGTCTCGGTGTCACCTGGGAAGTTAGAAATGCAAACTCTCAGGCCCCAGCCTGGACAGACCTACAAATCACAACCTCAAGCACTGAGACCCAGTAACCTGTGTTTGAACAAGTCCTCCAAGGGATTCTCATTTATGCTAAAGTTTGAGAACCAATGGTTTATCTGAAATCTAGCCATGGATGGGATACAGGGCTGAGTAAAGTTTGGCAGGATATTGAGGGAAAATTCTGAAGTCTGGGCTGTCATACTAATGGCAGATCCTGGTGGATTACTCCAGTGGGCAGCATGAGAAGACAGTGCCTAGGCTGGAAAAGGAGTGCCATAAAAGGTGGAGAGGGAACCCCTGTAGGCAGCTGGAAGTTTCTAAAGATAAACTTTGCTTCCCTTGAAATTTTACTCTTCATTCCATGAATATGACCTGAGCCTCCATTGCATATCAGCCACTGTGCTCAGTGCCAGAGGACTCAAGAAAAATGGATGACAAGAACTCCTGCTGTGACCTGAGGTAGCCCCCTGGCCAGTTGCCAGCTCCACAAACAACCAGTAATGGGATAAGTGATCTAATCAGGCAGGGGCAAGACCTTGGGGAGGTAGACACCCAGGGAGGTGAGGGAAGGCAACTCAAAGACCCATTTGGGGATTTTCCTGGTGGTCCAGTGGTTAGGGCTCCACACTTCCACTGCAAGAGGTGTGGGTTCACTCCCTGGTCTGCTGGGAGAACTAAGATCACACAAGCCACGCAGCATGGCCAAAAAGAAAAAAAAAAGACCCATTTGGATTGAATCCTGAAGAAATAGTAGCTTATCTGGCCATCAAGGGGTGGGGTGAACAGTAGCAGAACACCATGTATAAAATCACAGAAAAAAAAAAGGCAAGAACATTTAGGGAATTCCAACTCTTGGCCAGAGGGAATGGTAGAGGAGAGGACAGTGGTTGTAAATGAGGTTGAGAGAAGCTGGCGTCAGAGCTTGAAGGGTCATGCTGGTCATGGCAAAGAGCTCAGCCTCTATGCTCCAGAGTCCAGAG